TGGGGTGGAAAAAAAGCACTGAAAGCTGAAGACTTTCAACAGCTCAGAATTTCCAGGACACTGCAGTCACAAGTGCCAGCTGATTCTGGTCTTGTTCTAGAATTTCCATTAACCAAGCTGGCCTCAATATGAGACCTCTTCATTTGTCTTAAATAGCATCCCAACTGGTAGTGCCTGCAAGCAATTCACTGTAAGTTTTCCGCTCTAAGCAGAATTATTAACAAAAAACCCCCACTCGGGAACAGTTTGCACATGTGACTACTCTATGATCAGTCTGCTAAATAGAAACATCAGCTGGAATTGGATAGTTTTGGCAATAAAAGGAATAGCTCCACTAACATTACATTTGTGTGTTTCATTTTACTATTCTCAATACGAAAACTAACAGGATTCAAAAATTGTTTTGAAAAGCTAAGGCAAGTGTCACTCCCCACATTAGACAAAAGCTGCTGCTGAGAACGCCTTGCACAGTTGCCTCCCCCCGAACCAAGTCAATCTTAGATCTAGGGAATGGGTAAGCTCACTCTGAAGTGTTAGCAACTACCTTTGCTTTGCAAAATAGCTAGGGAATACTGCTGGACTATTTGAATCCAAGATATCTTTTAATTAAATATGTATTTTTGTGCCAGCTGATGCAAGATTTAATTAAAGTCTTTATTAATTCACTTCAGAAGGAGCAAATAGAGAAAGCTTAGTACGAATACGCCAAACAGTGCATGCAATAGTTATCTAACATATTTCAATGAAGACTGTAAAGTCTCAAACCTCACCGAGCAATAGAGGTCACAATTCACGTTACATAGAAACGCAAACAAAAAGGTATTAAAATCAAACACAGTGCTATCCCTTAATGTATCAATGAAAATCCATACCCCTCCCTTTCTTCAAAAAATCTGAAGATCCAGAATTGCATCAAGATCTCTAGCTGTAACCGTTCTGGACCAAAGCCCTGTATCTGATGGGTATTTGTTACTAGCTTTATTTTTTATTCCAACACAAGCTCTTAAATAATGTTTTAGGTTGCTTTTTCTAATAAATAAACTTTCAACCCTGTAAGAAACACCCACAAACTGTATCTATAAACACTCAGGACTCCCCTGAGGATGATAAAAAACCCTCTTTCCTTCCTACCCAGGCAATAAGAGGCCATAATTCCTCTCTTGCACCCTCATCCATTCAGGAAATCATTAACTGCAACTCTGACAGCCACAACAGCGACATGTCAAGTCACCACAAAACCTTCATTAACACTCCCCTGAACTGCAACATACTGAGTAAGAGATATTCCAGTGAATGCTTTAGAGCAACAATTGCGATGCAGAAATAACAAACCTATTACTTCACTTGAATCAATCAAAAGCACATTTTTTTAAATGTTTCCCATCAATAGGCACCAAAATGGCTCAAGTCCCTATTTTCAAAATTTCCCATGTAAAGCCATTAATGTGATGGCACTATCTTTGGTTCCAATTAAACTTCTTCTTGGTATGACAGTTCACATTGGCTGTCAACAGCTTTAGCTGGAGCCAGACAAAGATGATCAGCTCTGTCTCATCAGACTCAAGAGTTCTTCAGCCTCTTGCTCTGTGTTTTAGATCCAACCTGCTTTACTTTTAATTTTCATTGTAAAATACATTACATAAAGAAAGATTAATTTAAGAATAAATTCCACTATTACTTTACTTTTATCACCTTCCATATCTCTATTTTCTCTCTCATCGTAGATGCCAGGAAACTAAAAGTAATGCCCTGTCTGCTTTGTAGAAAGCTCGTGTTGAAAGCATGTTAGCTGAGCCACTGAATAACTCAGATTACTGCATCAGAGGGCCACATTTAGTCTTGTGGTGTTTTCTCTCCTCAGATTAATGGACATTACACTCCACAGAAATGTAGCTCAAAATTTCTTTTAAGCCAATGAAAATATACTGGAACTACCTGACTGCATATTTAATTCTGCAAAATTTTTCAAGACAAAGAACAGCAAGATAAATTTAGGTGACTGGCACAGAAGAAAGGCCTCATAAAACCAAACCTATCCCATTTATACAAGATATTAACAAAATATCAGTAATTTTTCCAATTCCCAAACCAAGCTAACAAAATTAATCCATTTGTTCTTACCTGGAAATTTGGTGCCCAGCATAAAGCAGCAGTGCAGTCAAAAAGTACAGGTAAAGCTGAACCAGGTGTTGTCTTGGTAAAGTTAGGAGCACAACACTTAAGATGTAACCTGTAACAAAAAGCAGAGGTTGAAATTTAAAAAACCAACACCACTATCTAATCCCAAAGTTCTTAATATGAATTAATACTCACATTATTCAGATCTCTTTAGCCACCTTTGTCCTCATTTGTTTTTAAAATCAGGTACCTACATTTTCCTCTCATCAAAACACAAAGCACACAAAAAACCTGCCACTTTTCTTCATATCCCGCCCGCCCCCCCAAAAATAGGTCTACCAGCTTCTGCAAGATTATATCTATATGTCAAGAAGTGGACGTGATCCACAGTATTTTAACAAGACTTAACTAACATAACTTATCTAACAGGGAAAACAGGCCTAGGTCTCCCTCCTCTTCCAAGTGAAAGCAAGTTTCAGTGTCACAGGAAACAAAGCCTATCCATCTAATAAACTCAGTCCATTGATGTAAAAAATAATTTTCTTCAAGCAAAGGACACAGAGAACACCTTTCCATGCTGATTAGCATTACACATTTTAATTCTTCCACTGTATCGTCATGGTTTAAAGACACTTTGCATGCCCATAATTTGAGATGGGGACACAGAGGCTGTTCTGCATACTAGCAATATTAAAGCACATTCAAGCTATCTGTGTTGCATAAATCAAAGACAAGACTCGGCACAGCCTAGGATTTGTAGGCATTTACACCAGCAGTTCCTCCACTTCTTGTTAGCGTTCTGTAAGACTGTGCAAAAGGAGCCAGTGGAGGCACAGCTTTACTCTTCAAGAACATAGCCAGGCTGCTCAGCAGCCTCTCCAACAAGCAGAACACTGATCTTTTTTTTCATACCTGCTCTCATTACGATACTTAAATAAAGCAGTACTTTGAAGTACACTTCACAACTGGGTGGAACATGCTCATCCTCTCCTTCCCAGGCAGACTCTGCAGGTCAAAAACCCAGTTCATGGTGCCCTTACTAATCTTTATTTCCGAGCTCTCCATCACAGCACAGTGCACTCATGCTCTTTGTGAAGGTCAGCTTAAGTGCCTGGCACTGAAATCCATTTAGGAAAAAAACCCAGCAACAGCTAACAACTTCCCTGCAGCTAAGAACAAAACATTATAGAAGAACTCATCCTGACACTTACAGCTATACTAGTCACATTACATTTAAAGTTTCGTCCATCTATTCAGCAACACTGTGCACAGCCTTTTTAACTGAGTTAATTTATACCTTGGGCTTTTTAAAAATACTTCAGAAAATAATGTAACTTTAGATTAAGCATTAAGTAGTGGGACAACCAGCTACTATAAAACAGCTTGGGAACACAATATGTTCCAATATTTGAAAAAGATACAATTTCAGAGTCAGTCAGTATTTACGTAGAAGTACTTCAAGGCTACTTAATATCTGCCACCTTCAATAAGCCATCTTTGTAAAACTCTACCAGTAGTTAGGTCTTCAAGAAGGTAACTCACCACATGCTCCTAGAGAAAAGGCATCAGACCCACAGTATGGCAAGCAAAGGTCAATTCGGATACGATAGGCAATACGAGTGATGATAGACAGACAAAGCCAAGGTACTTACCTTTTTAAAAACACAAATACACAATTTACATATTTAACATTAAAAATAATTTTTCCAGTACTTTCATAAAGTAGATGTGACAAGTTGCACATTTGTCTGAGGATGAGCCTTTTCAAAAGTTGAAATAATTCATAGTTTCTTTGATTAGAATGAAGTATCATACTAGTCACCATCACTAGTTTCTGTACAGTATCCATTTAATCATTTACAGTATCCATTGGATCATTTACAAAAGTTATCAGAGGGATGAAACACTTCTATGAGGACAGGCTGAGAGAGTTGGGGTTGTTCAGCCTGGAGAAGAGAAGCCTCCGGGGAGACCTTACTGCAGCCTGCCAGGCCTTAAAGGGTGCCTACAGGAGAGATGGGGACAGACTTTTTAGCAGGGCCTGTAGTGACAAGACAAGGGGTCATGGTTTTTAAAAGAGAGTAGATTTAGACTAGATATAAGGAAGAAATTATCCTACAATGAGGGTGGTGAAACCCCAGCCCAGGTTGCACAGAGAGGTGGTAGATGCCCCATTCCTTGAAACATTCCAGGTCAGGTTGGACGGGGCTCTGAGCAACCTGCTTGAGTTGAAGATGTCCCTGCTCACAGCAGGGGGGTTGGACTAGGTGACGAAAGGTCCCTTCCAACCCAAGCCATTCTATGATTCAATGATTTTTATTTTGAGCTTTTTAAAGGGGCCTGAAACCCAGCACTAAAACAGTTTCCTTTTAGCAACTGTTTTATACAGAATAACATGCGTCTAGTTAACACAACACAGCAGATGTTCTACATCATCAGTTTTCTTAGAAAACACTTGTATTTTATGGAATTCATCTTCTCTATTCATCACCTTCCTTCTACCAGATACACGAATGACAAAAGGAGGTGGTCTTCAGCAGAATCTCCATGAAGATATTTAACTAGCTTGCATCACACCACAGCATCATGAGCCAGCTCCACCAGCTCTCATGCTATTTGCAGACATTCTTAATACCTCACCTCTGCTGTATTCACCACCTTCCCTTGATTGCTTAGTTAGGGACAATTCTCTCTGCAGACCAACCCACATGGCACAACCAGCACTTGAGTCAAATCTCTCTAAACTCTTCATTCTCACTATAGCCCATGACTCACCTTCAGGTGGAGAACTAAATAGAGTTCATTATGCACTCTCTTATTCCTCTATTACTCTATAAATAGTCTAAGAATACCTGTTTATTGTATCTGCATTTAAGCTCTGCCATCTTTACCTTATTCTATCACATGAAAGTCTACTCCTTGACCAAATGATGATGTACTTGAGCCGTGCTAGGATAATTTCTGTAAAAGGAAGACATTTTAGAGGGCAGTAACTGCACTCCAACACAGCCATGTTACATAGGAGTATTTTAGAAGTGATTTAAATTCATTCTTCTCTGCATGATCAGAAATTTAACTAAAATATAGCAGGATACACTGAAGGAGTGAAAAAAATGTCCAAATACAAATCAAAAGATGAGAAGATTACTATCACATCTGTGCCTTTCAAACAGAGGGCTTCCAAACAACACAGATGCTTGTAACACTGCACAGGGAAACAGCACAAGACAGCCAAGGTTACTGCAGAAGCTTGAGCAATGAACTCCACCGCTCATGAGTTTGGGCTGGAATTTAAATGTTCACTTTGAAGCAGCTGTTTGCTCTAATTGTTAGATTTTGAAGAGGGGAGGAGTGAGAGACATTTAAAGTAGTTCCCTTTCACTCTTATTTACAATTCCCTCTTGTGACTTGATAAGAGAGGTATTTCGACACACTTCATACTGCAGTATTTGCATTTTTGCTGCAGATGCCCTATTCCCAACGTGGTACCAACCTCATTTTTATCAACAAAGCCTCTGCCAAAAAAAAAAAAAAAAAAGGGCAAATAATTCATTACCAAATGCCTCATTGCAGAAGAAAAGGAAGACAAGATCAAATTCAGACATACTAGCAGCAATATTCTATTCCCTTTGTTCTCGACAGACAAATGATGTAATTAGTGTATGGCATAAACGAGATTCTACTTCAAAACAAAGGACCAGGAAATGAAATTTCTCACAGCAGCTTTCTCATCTAAATCATTACATTCTGTTTTCATTTGCACCTCCTCTGTCAGAAGAAAACATGATGTTGAGAACATACATCCCTTTGGAGAGATTCTCCATACACAAGGATTTAAGAGTTTGAGAAACAGTCATCTTACCAGGTAGCCTTTTGGCACGGGTTCACAGTAACTAACGTCCACTTCCATCCAAAGCTCTCCAAGCTCTACATCTACAATGAGCGCTCCTCTCCCTTGGTTTAGGCCATGCATGCTATTGTCACTTTTGGGACTTCTTGTATTCTCCCTTTTAACTCACCAAGTACATTTCTGTTTAAGTGTAAGCATCAGGGTCAGTGAAGGCCAATTCCTGCCATGGTAAAGAAACCATTCTAACACACATTTTAAAAAAAATAAAGACAAGAGAGAATAAACTCTTTCCTGAATACAGTAGTAGTGCCCTAGTGCTAGGCCACCAAGAAACAGAATTGCACCCTTAGGCTTCCAGATGTAAGCAGCACTAGAGAAGACCCATTCTGCCAACCTTACAAATACACAGACCCACCACTCAGTACCTATTCAGGAACACAAGGAAGCAGAGAACTTCCCCGCCTCTCGTGGAAGGCAGTACGGATTTAGGTCCCACTGGAAAAAATATACTGTGAAAACAGTAATAAGCAGAAAAGCTAAGTTAAACATTGCTAGACAAGAACACATGTATTAACTAGCTCATGACCTCATTTACAACTTGTTGATTCAGCTAGATGAAAACCTCTCACTGTGCAGTGCTCATTGTTACAGTAAGCAGCAGCTCACAGATTGCCTTTCAGCAATCTCTATTTGCGTACCACCAAGGTGTTTCCCAGCTTCTCTCCTCACCCTGTATTGCCTCTTTGCCAACTCAGGTGTCTGAGTTTTATTGACATGCTGCATACAACAGAGGCTTCCGGAGCAGGAACGAAGTTGCAACCCGTCCTCTTTATGAAATGTTTTAGTGCTCATTTGCATGACTACAGATCCCTCATGTCCACTTCACATTATTACTCAAAGTTTCCTGCAGGTTTAGTCTAAAAATTAGAACTCTGCACATGAAACAGAGTTCATAATGTTTCTTAATAAAACCACACCATCTCTTGGATACTGCTTCTGCAGGGGCTTGACAAGGAAACGCCGCCCCCGAAAGAAAAGCAGCTGTTTATGCTGAATACTACAAAGTGAGGAATTCAAATCTTTGAGTGCCAGAAAGTAACAGTACAATAGTAGAATACCAGGAAATTAATTGGGGGGGCCCTAACTTTCCACTCCCCCATACCCTCTGAATGTGAAAGGTTCATCTTACAACGACTTGCAAAGCAACTTGCTGTGAAGCAACAAGTTGTGAGCCACAGAATACCATCAAAACTGTCTCTCCT